GAGAAACAGAAAAGTCATGACATTATAAGAAAAAATTAAATTGCTTGATATGTACAGTATATTGAGATCTGCAGTGGTGGTTGCCCATTCATTCCAAGATAAATGAATCCAGCATAAGGACAATTATCAAAAAGGAACAGGAGGGCTTTCCTGGTGGCACAGTGGTTGAGAGTCTACCTGCCGATGCAGAGGACATGGGTTCATGCCCCAGTCTGGGAAGATCCCACATGCCGCGGAGCAGCTGGGCCTGTGAGCCATGGTCGCTGAGCCTGCATGTCCAGAGCCTGTGCTCCGCAATGGGAGAGGCCACAACAGTGAGAGCCCCACGTAACGCCCCACCTCTCTCCAAAAAAATAGGAAATTTAAGGAATCATTGCTACAGCTATGCCAACATGTGCAAAAACCTCACTTTTTGTGAAATACCTTTTTATCTTATCTTGAAATTTTAGCTTTTATGTGTATGCAGGATTGTTATAAGAAATGAATACCTATAAACTCCAATATGACTTGAAAAATGTGAAGTCATTATACGATAACACAAAGCAAAAGGAAGGTGAAGCATCTAAAGTCAGAGAACTTAATGCCAGCAAAAGATGTTTAATAATTTTAGAAAGAGGTTTGGCTTTAAAAATGTCAAGATAACAGGAGAAGCTCCTTCTGTCAATGAGGATGCAGTACGTGCATTCCCAGACATCACTATGAAAATCATTGAAGTGAAAGGATATCTACCTGGACAGGTTTTTAATGCAGATAAAAGTGTCCTATTCTGGAAAAATAATTCCACAAAAGACAATTATTAGTAAGGAAGTGAAGTGTGCAGCAGGATTTAAGGCAGGAAGGATTAGAATAACTCTACAGTTTTATGCAAATGCAGTCAGTTTTATGATCAGAACTGCCCTTATGTATAAAGCTGATGATGCCCGAGCCTTTAAGGGAAAATAAATATGACATATCTGTCTTGTGGTTGTACAACCAGAAGGCCTGGACAATGAGAATCTTTTTCTGGATTGGTTCCATCGATGCATTGTCCCTGAAGTCAAGAAGTAAATTGCCAGTAAGGGACTAACTTTTGTTTTTCTTCCAGTTGTATTTAGATATAATTGATATATAGTACTGTATAAATTTAAGGTTTTACAGAATAATGATTTGATTTACATACATCATAAAGTGATTATCACAAGTTTAGTGAGCATTTATCATCTCATATAGATAATAAACTTTTTAAAAAATAGAAAAAAATGTTTCCTTGTGATTAGGACTCTTAGGATGTGCTTTATTAATGACTTTCATATATGACATACCACAGTGTGAATTAAATTTATCAGGTTGTACATTACATACCTAGTACTTACTTGTCTTATAACTGGAAGTTTGTACCTTTTGACTGCCTTCATCTAATTCCCCCTTCCCCTCTGGTAGCCATAAATTTGATTTTATTTTTGATTAGTTTGTTTTTGAAATATAACTGACTTACAACACTATGTTGGTTCCTGTTACACAATATGGTGTATAGAAATGATATTTCTATACATTTCAAACTGATCATTAAGGTGTCTAGTTACAGTAACCGAAGATATTATATAGTTTTTAACAACATACCCCACATCATACATTTCATATCTGTGAACCATTTATCTTACAACTGGAAGTATGTACCTCTTAATCTCTCTCAACTATTTATTTTCTCCCTCCAACACTTTTTTCTCTGGATATCACCTGTTAGTACACTATATGTATGAATCAGTTTCTGTTTTGTTGAATATTTTTATTCATTTTGCTTTTTTTTAGATTCCACATATAAGTGAAATCATACAGTATTTGTCTTTCCCTAACTTATTTCACTTAGCCTAATACTCTCTAGGTTCATGTATATTGTCACAAATGGCAAAATTGCACTCTTTTCTATGACTGAGTAATATTCCATTATATATGTGTATATACCAAATCTTCTATATCCATTCTTCTATTGATGAGCACTTAGGTTGTTTCTGTGTCTTGGTTGTTATAAATAATGCTGTGATGAACATTGTGGTGTGTATATCTTTTTAAATTAGTATTTTTGTTTTATTTGGATAAATACCCAGGAAAGAATTTGCTGGATTATATGGTAGTTCTACTTTTAATTTTTTGAGGTATATTTATACTGTTTCCATAGTGACTGCCCCAATTTACATTCCCACCAACAGTGCCAGAAGGTTCTCTTTCTCCACATCATTGACAACACTTGTTATTTGTTGTCTTTTTGTTAATAGCCATTCTGACAGGTGTGAAGTGATATCTCACTGTGGTTTTGATTTCCATTTCCCTGATGATTAATGATGTTGGGCATCTTTTCATGTGCCAGTTGGCCATCTGTATACCTTGCATAGAAAAACAAAATGTCTGTTTGGATCCTCTGCCCATTTCTGATTAGTTTTTTTTTTTTTTTGATGTAGAGTTTTATGATTCTTTTCATATTTTGGATACAAACCCCTTATTTAATATGTCTTTTGTAAATACCTTCTCTCATTCAAAGGGTGGTCTTTTCACTTTGTTGATAGTTTCCTTCACTGTGCAAAACCTTTTTTGTGTGAATCAGTCCCATTAATCAGATGTAGTCCCATTTGATTATTTTTGCATTTATTTCCTTTGTCTGAAGAGACACATCAAAAAAAAAAAATATATATATATAAGACCAATGCTAGAAAGATTACTGCCTATGTTTTCTTCTAGAAGTTTTATGATTTCAGTATTACATTTAAGTCTTTAAGCCATTTTGAATTTATTTTTGTACATCATATGAAAAAATTATCCAGTTTGATTCTTTTGCATGGTTGCTGTTCAGTTTCCCAACAACATTTACTGAAGAGGCTGTCTTTCCCCATTGTATATTCTTACCTCCTTTTCACATATTAATTGACCATGTAAGTGTGGTATCATTTCTTTGCTTTCTATTTTGTTCCATTGATCTATGTGTCTGCTTTCATGCAAGTACCATATTATTTTGATGATTATAACTTTGTAGTATAGTTTAAAATCAGGAAGCATGATACCCTCAGCTTTGTTATTTCTTAAGATGGCTTTGACTATTCAGAGTTTTTTCTGTTTCCATATAAATTTTATTTGCTCTACTTCTGTGAAAAATACCCTTAGTATTTTGATGGGGATTGCATTAAATATGTAGATTGACCTGGGGAGTATGATAATTTAAAAAATATTGGAAGAGTTCAGGGAGATGGCGGAAGAGTAGGAGGTGGAGATCATCTTCCTCCCCACAGATACATCAGAAATACATCTACATGTGAAACTGCTCCTATAGAACAACCACTGAACGCTGGCAGAAGACCTCAGACCTCCCAAAAGGCAAGAAACTCCCCACGTACCTGGGTAGGGCAAAAGATAAAAGAAAAAACAGTGACAAAAGAATAGGGTTGGGACCTGCACCACTGGGAGGGTGCCGTGAAGGAGGAAAGGTTTCCACACACTAGGAAACCTCTTCATGGGTGGAGATAGCAGGTAGCAGAGGGGGAAAGCTTCAGAGCTGTGGAGGAGAGTGCAGCAACAGGGGAGCAGATGGCAAAGCAGAGAGATTCCCACACAGAGGATCAGTGCTGGATAGCACTCACCAGCCCGAGAGGTCTGCTCACCTGCTGGGGTGGGTAGGGGCTGGGAGCTGAGGCTCGGGCTTTGGTGGGATCCCAGGGAGAGGACTGGGGTTGGTGGTGTGAACACAGCCTGAAGGGGTTAATGGACCACGGCTAGCCAAGAGGAAGTCTGGGAAAAAGTCTGGAACTGCTAAAGAGGCAAGAGACTTTTTCTTCCCTCTTTGTTTCCTAGTGGGCGAGGAGAGGGGATTAAGAGCACTGCTTAAAGGAGCTCGAGAGATGGATGCGAGCCACGGATATCAGCGCAGAACACAAAGACAGGCATGAGACGCTAAGCCTGCTACTGCCACCACCAAGAAGCCTGTGTGCAAGCATAGGTCACTATCCAAAGCTCCCCTCCTGGGACCCTGTGCAGCCTGTCACTGCCAGGGTCCCATGATCCAGGGACAACTTCCCTAGGAGAACACATGACGTGCCTCACGCTGCTGCAACGTCATGCTGGCCTCTGCTGCCACAGGCTCACCCCACATCCATACCCCTCCTCTCCCTGGCCTGAGTGAGCCAGAACCCCCGAATCAGCTTCTCCTTTAACCCCGTCCTCTCTGAGGAAAGCACAGACAGCTTCAGGCGACCTAAACGCAGAGGCGGGGCCAAATACAAAGCTGAACCCAGGGAGCTATTCAAACAAAGAAGAGAAAGGAAATTTCTCCCAGCAGCCTCAGGAACAGCGGATTAAATATCCACAATCAATTTGATGTACCCTGCCTCTGTGGAATACATGAATAGAAAAGGAATCATCCCAAACTGAGGTGGTGGACTTTGGGAGCAAGATATATTATTTTTTGCCCTTTTCCTCTTTTTGTGAGTGTGTATATGTATGCTTCTGTGTGAGATTTTGTCTGTATAGCTATGCTTTCACCGTTCATCCTAGGCTTCTGTCAGTCCTCTTTTTTTAAAATCTTTTTCTTAGTAATAATTTTATATATTTTATGTTAATAATTTTATTTTATCTTACTTTATTTTATCCTCCTTCTTTCTTTCTTTCTTTCTTTCTTTCTTTCTTTCTATCTTTCTTTCTTTCTTTCTATCTTTCTTTCTTTCTTTCTTTCTATCTTTCTTTCTTTCTTTCTTTCTTTCTATCTTTCTTTCTTTCTTTCTTTCTTTCTTTCTTTCTTTCTTTCTTTCT